AAAGTGTTGGGACAACATGCAGGTGATGAGTCAAAAAGACATCAAGAGGTACTGCAGAAGCCTCAGGAACCAGGGGAGCAGTTACCAGGAGACAGAACCAATGGATGTGGCTCACATTAGTGGTGAAACGCTGGGGCTCACACTGGTTCAAGTTGAAAGGAAGGGAGCTCCAGTTCCCACACACTGCAGCTTTACTTATCCTTGGATTTCCAGAAGATTTGTCTTCTTCCATCTCCCTTCTTGTAAGTCAGATGCTAAATGCATCTCACCTTCTCACAATTCAGAGTCTAATTAGAGCCTAGTGGGTGTGGTAGTGCACATACTTGCAATCTCAGCACTCAAGAAGCTGAGGTAAGACTGCTGCATGCTGAGTTCAAGGCCAGCCTGAGCTACATAGGAAACACCACATCGATTCTTGCCCCTAGAAAAGGAGTTTAATTAAAATAACAGTGAAAGCAAAAATTAGGGGAACTCCTGGTGGAGTGGGGAGATAGTATGTACGCTTCTGAGAAGGAAGAGAAAATGTGTATCTGTGGCTCACTGACCACTTTATTGCAGCCATAGGAACACGTCACCACTCCCTGTGATTCATTCATCTACCCTACTTAATCAGCATTTATTTAGTACCAACTACACCAAGCACAAACCCTGCAAGACACTCCCCGACCTCCAAGAGCGAGCGACAGCTTTATACAAAGAACAAAGAAACATTTACTCTAGGATGGTATGTAAAGAGATGCAGGGCAAGCGGTCAGGGCTTTGAAGAGGCTCCTGAGCCCAGGGAGGAAGGACTGAGGGAGAAATGCTGCAGCTTTCTTGGCACAACTGGGATCTACAGTTTTGCTGTGAGGGAGGAACATGATAGACAAGGAAAACCTTGAGTAAAAATAAGAGGCAGATCCTTATCACCTAAAGGATTACTACTGAAATTAGATAAGAGGAAGTCTTAGTCAGGAACAATACTGGAGAAAAGATGAGCCTGGAGACACCAGCAGAGGTCAAACTACGTCAAAAGGAGCTGGGGATGGGGGTGGGGGCGCTGAGCATGGGTGGGGGGTGTTGAGCATGGTTGTATCCTCATTAGAGATGTACTTTAGAAAGAGCATTGTGATGAATAGCAAGGGCTTTCAAACACAGACATTCTCAGATTGGCCAATTCTCTTCTAGGAATTTATTCTAGAAATAAAAGAGAATAGTTACGGAGCTTTTAATTAACCATCGCCAACACATCTTTATTGAAGGTTCTCTGCCAGCCAGATTCTTAAGCAATTACATATATCATCCCATTTAATCTTTAAACAGTGCAACTAAAATGTGAACTCCATTAAGCATCTACAACAGGAAACTTGATTAAATAATTTACTGCCTAGAGACTAGACACACAATGGAGCTCTATGAAACATCACCCTAACTAGTACTGCTGAGCACTTGCTCTCCTGAGGCTCTTGCTAAGTGCTTTTAATAAGGATAATTTAATCCCATCCTCATACATCAAGAGAGGGACTACAGGGTATTCAGGCTTTGTAAAAGGCTGGGGCAGAATTTGAAAAGGTCTGCCTGGAAGCTTTTACTTCTGTTATAATTTACTTTCATCAAAAGACAGCCACAAAGTTAAGCAGATCTTTAAACTAAAATAGAAAATCCTGAAACGCATCCCAACATTTTGGGAAGCTTTATAATGCATGACTGAAGCTTCATGGAAAACAAGTATGGTGACATATACCTGTAATGCCTGCACTTGGAAGGCTGAAGTAGGAGATCTGCTGGCTTACCACCAGGGTAGGCTACAAAATAAGGCCGTATCTCAAACGCAATAAATGTAAAAACAAAAACTAGGGGAAAGGTCACCGGTAAACTGCAAACAACTCCAATGGAGTAATAGACAACTCGTCATCACACGGACCTCTAGACATATGATGGTTGTCGGTGTCGGTGGTTGGTCCAAAGTTGGGATGTTCGACTTTATGATGATCAGAATGTTACTTCTAGAACTGTTCCTCAAAACTTCGTTTGTGTTGATCTCATTTAAGACCACACAATACCCTGCTTGGTGGGTCTTACCCTGATACCCCGGGTCTTGTCTGGCCTCAATATAGTTCCTTCACTTTTATTTCCACTACTCCTTGGCAGTGCACTCTAGTCAAAATCATCTCAAATCTGCCTGAAGTCATTTGCCATCTCCTTTCGGGTTTTCTTCACCCCAAATCCGGCCTCCTCTACGAACACCCTAACCTCATGTGAGGACATTCCCGTGCAGGCTGGGGATGAGGAGCGAAAGACACAACGTGAGACGTTTTCTAGGGGACTGGGTGAGAGTAGAGTGGGCACCCTTAGATGTAGGGTCGGTACCACCTACATTCATGAAGCACCATGAAGGGAAGAAGGAACTAGAGGAAGACGGGGGAGGACTGGGACCTCCAACTTGGAAGTACAGGATTCTGACACACAGTGGGCGTACCACAAAGACACTGGTAGCCCTGTCTATGTCCTAAGGAACCTACGCACACTGGGCGGGACGACTCTCCGTCCCAGGCTCTCGCGCAAGCCAGCTCCATCAGGTCACGCCCACTAGTCCTCCCCCAAGTCCCCAGGGTTCCCTTCTCTCCGCCGCTGCGTCCACTCGGCTTCTCGAAGACCTAGACCCGCGGCCCTCACCTTCCGCAAGAGTACTGGGTACCTGCGAACGACGTACCGCCTCGGGTCGGGAAGGCAGTGCGCCTGCGCGATGGTCTTCCGCCTCTGGGCTCCAATCAATGTGCTGCCTTCGCATGGACTCCATTTCCCAGAAGTCTCGACAGCCGGCGCGCCTTAAGATGACGCGTAAAAAAAAACTGCACAAGTTTGCACTCCAGATCCGTGGTGCTGAAGCAGGCTGTGTGTGCGTGCGCTCCTAAACCGGGAGACCCGCTGTCCGGTGAAGGCGGACCTGAGTAGTGCAGCGAGGAGGAGGGTCCTAAGACAGCGCAAGTCCTGTCTCTGGTTTGCCAGCTTGCCTGTCTTTTCTGAAAGCCAGGGTTCCCAGTTCTTAGTCATCTTTCAGTGGACTGCCCCAGATGCTCGACACACCTGTTGCTGTGGTCCTTCAAGAATTCTTAGGCAGTTTTCACTATTTTGGTCGGCACCTTGGGGAATTTACACTCAACTCTGTAACCACAATCCTGTTTGAGGATGACCTCCTTTCTACTGCTTCAGACAATACCAGCTGCACGGACTTTAAACTTTGTAGCACAAAAAGGACGCAGAGTTTCCAGGGAAAGACTCAACTTGTGAGACAAAAAAGTCAGTTACTGAATCTTAGCCCCAGGATATCTGAAATAAGAAACGTGTTAGGGCTTTTCTGGAACTAACAGGGTACTGCAGAATATGGATTGAAGCATTTAAAAAAAATAGCCAGGCCAGTCTCTGAGAAACTAAATGGGGACCCCAAATCCATACCAAGGAACAATCCCTAAGAAAGTCCTGGCACCGGGCTTCCCAAAGAGGATAGGCTCTTCAGCAGCACATTACAAACAAAAACAAAACAAAACAAACAACAAACAACAACAACAA